TGTTTGTAGTACACAGTGATTATGTTTATCACGGAGAGTTTGTACATGTATACAACACATTGTAATTCTTTTTTCTTTTTGTTCCCATATTTCCTTGGTCCTTCCAACTCTTAATCCCCTCCCTACTTGAAAAAACTCTATTTCCATTTTTTCTTTGACTTTAATAAAGCAGCACTAGCTTTATACTAAGTTTGAAAATCTGCTAATGTGACTCTTCAAAATTTGCTCTTTTTCTTTCAGTTTGTTTTGCCATTCTAGTTTTTTTTTTTTATCTTTTATTTATCTATTTATTTTTTGGTGTTGAGGATTGAACCCTAGTTTTCATACATGGTAAGCATGTGTTCAACCACTGAGCTACACCTCCAACTCCTGTTTTGTTTTGTTTTTAATTTTGCATATTTTAGAATCACCTTGTCAATGTCTACTAAAAATAAAAACCCTTTGTTCCACCGCCTGCCCTACAAGTGCAAGGACCCGAGTTCAATCCCCAGTACCAAAAAAAAAATAAAATAAAATAAAAAATAAAAATAAAAATCCTGCTGGAATTTTTATTAGAATTGCATGAAGTCTATAGATAAATTTGATGAGAATCAACATCTTAATAATATTAAGTCATATAATCCATGAACATGATATGTATCTTCATTTATTTAGGGGTTATTTTATTGTTTTCATTAATGGTTTGTGATTGTCAATATATAAATCTTGTATATATTTTGTGAGACTTTTACCTCAGTATTTTTTTTTTTTTTTGGTACTGGGGATCGAACTCAGGACCTTGCGCTTGCGAAGCAGGCATGATGCCACTGAGCTAAATCCCTTGCCCAGTGTTTTATACTTTTGATGCTACTTTAAAAGTGCTGTTGCTGGGGCTGGGGATTTAGCTCAGTGGTTTCCGCCACCTGCTGTGCAAGCGCAAGGACCTGAGTTCGATTCCCGGTACCAAAAAAAAAAAAAAATTAAAATGTGTTTAAAAAAAAAAAAGTGCTGTTGCTTTTAAAGTTCCAATTATTCATTTGTAGTATAGAGACATGTGATTAATTTTTGTGTGTTGGCCTTCAACACTGTGACCTTGTAAAAACTACTATTTCTAGAAGCTTTAAAAGGGATGCTTTAGGGTTTTCTACATAGAAATTCACAATGTCTGCAAACACAGGCACTTTTCTTTTTATGTCTTTTCTTTCTCTTACTTTATTAAACTAGCTGAGATGCCCATGTTGAATAAGAATAAGGAGAGGGAACATCCTGGCCCTGTTCCTTCTCTTTAGGGGAAAAAATTCATTCTTCCATCATTAAGTTTGATATTAACTCAGCTTTTGTTTTTTTGTAAGTACTTGTTCTTCTGTTAAGAAAGTTCCCTTTCACTTACTACCTTAAAGGGATATCGAATTTTATTGAGTAATTTTCCTGCATCTATTCAGATAATGTTTTTTTCATTTTTAGTCTATTTATGATTAATTACATTGATTGATTTGTGAATATTGAAACAACCTAAACTTCCTGCAATAAACTCCACTTAGTGGTAATGTATAATCTCTCTATATGCATATATGGTACAATTTGCTAATATTTTGCCGGCAAATTTCATGTTTTTGTCAGTGAATAAAATCATCTCTGGTTCCTTTCAATTTCTCTGAAATGGCAGCTGGATGGATTTGGTATCCTGGTGATGCTGACCGAGATGAACTGAGACGTTTTTGCTCCTTTACTGTTTTCTGGAAGAACCCGTGTATAACTGACATAATTTCTACCTTAACATTTGGGAGAATTCACCAATAAAGTAATATTTAGCATAGAGACTGCTTTTACAGAGTTTTTTTAAATCAATGTCTGCTCTACCCTCAACTTGAGGTTTTCCTTTGCGTCGTACCTGGTGGGGAGAGGTGAGGGGATGGACCTCTCTCCCAGCTGCAGACCGCTGTTACCCACTGTTTGAGGACACTGTCATAGCCTGTTGGCAGGATGCAGTACTTACTTTGCAGTGGAAAAATGAAAACGCAAGGCCCTCTGCTCAAAAATTATTTTTAAAGAGTTCAAGATGGCGGCGGCAGGGCCGGGAATTTAGCTCAGTGGTTCCGCCTGCTGCGCAAGGGCAAGGACCCAAGTTGGATCCCCGGTACCAAAACCAAACAAACAGACAAAATGATGGCAGCAGCAAAGAGTTGCACCGAAAGGAAGGCCCTTCCGAGCTGGGCCCTTTGTGGTGCCCACAGAGTCATCGGCTTCTGGGGAGCAGGGCTTTGCGTCTTGTTCTGACGGAGCCTCTGCGTAGCGAGCCGAGTTCCGGGTGTCAGAGACCGGGCCTTCTCAGCGGTGCCGCCTGCCTCCCATTGCGCATTTTGGTCAAGGGACAGTAGTCCCGCACCTTTCACAAGGCAAGGGGAGGGTATTTTCTGTCCCCTTTCCCCAGCTAGAATGGTTTTTACCAGTGTCCCAAGGTGACAGGCAATTGCCCTGCTGCAGTGGCTTAAGGCATTTGTTCTTTGTTTTTTTTTTGGGGGGGGTGTTAGTACCAGGGATCAAACTCAGGACCTTGAGCTTGCCAGGCAGGTGCTGTGCCGCTGAGCTACATCCCCAGCCAAGGCATTTGCTCCCTAGGAGACACAGGCTCTGCGTGGTGTTTCCTCCTTTCTCGAAGTGGCCTCTGTGCATCCCTTCCAGGTCCTCCTCTTCAAGGGAGTGCGCTGGAGGACAGCTCCCCAGCAGGTTCAGATGCTTTTGTGCCTCTGACCCCAGGGATTCTGCCTCCTCTGACCTGCCTGCATTTGTCTTGTGACAGCTCACCGACCTTTTCTTACTGGTTACTGAGGATGCTTGCTCAATCCCAGTCTCTCCTGGAGGCTCTTGCCTTTCCTTAGAGTTCAGGTCAGTTAGACTTGGCCTGGGACCTTAGCTTTCTCATGGGCTCAAAAACATTGTTTTTGTTATTGTTGTTGTGAAGGTAAAACAATATTCTTTCCACTTTCATATCTCCCAAGTGGAAACAAAGTCTATGAATATCCAAACAACCCTTATGCTGGTAAATTATGGTGTGGTAGATGGAATACTGCTGCAACAATGGGCAAGCCAGGTTCCTTTTGTTTCATCTGTTCCTCCCCTGGTTTGTCTACCTCAAATCCTATACTTCATTGAACTTCAAACATAATGTCATTTTATGATGTGTTTTAAGTCAATGAGCATATCGCAGCAATGAAATAATTCGATGTGACCTCTTCTGGTTTAAATAGTTATATGTTTGTAATTGTTTGGACCAGACTGGGAAGGGACACACCATGGTGACGAGCATGTGAGCATGTTGGAGCGTGCTGGGTGGGAGTCACAGTGACGTTTCTCTGTAATGTCTGTCAGCAGTGAGGCTGTGTTCTTGCATTTGTGTCTGTACCCTGTGTAGGAGCTGGCACAAACTTGAGTGACCTGAAATCTTGATTATGGTTATCCTCTTCTGCCCCGCTGTGGCGTGTTCATGTTACTGCTGGCACTTCTCATTAGGCAGATACGGTGATTACTTATTTTCCCCTTCCATTGAAATTTGTCCCTTTTATTTCTTGGTCCTCCAAATCTGATCCTGTAGTATCTTATTTAAGGGCAAGTGCTTACAACATCTCTGTTTTCCTCACTAGTTTGTAAACCTCTAGAAGTCGGGGACCTATTCTTTGAAAACATTTTGTAAACTACGAAGTTCTTTCGAGATCTTTCATCTGTTCATTCACAGACTTTTGTTATGATGTCTTTCAGCCAGTGCTCTGTCCAAGTTGAAGGATACAACTCGCACCCTGTGACCTTGTAGATGGTGAGAGAGAACAGTTATCAAAAACTGCGGGGAGTTTATCTCTGGTGTTGGACAGGACAGGGACACTGCTGCTGGGGCCAGGGCAAGCCAATGGTTGACACAGAAACCCAAGGTGTCAGCAGCACCTCCCTGAACACAGAAGGTGAGACAGAGGGACCCTGTTCAGCTAACACAAGAGAGGCAGAGCAGGAGGCTCATTTGGGGACCACCCCAGGGCCTGTTGGGCAGAGTGGCCCTAGCTGGAGAGTACTCTAGAACTGCGGGCAGAGCAAGAAGTTGAGGACTTTAAATGCCATGCCGAGAGCACAAAGTAACCAATCAGAGGGTACGTATTCAGCAGTAACTCGTGAGGTTGAATTAAACAGGAAGCTCCACCACCTTCATCATGAATAAACTATTTCTTTTACTTAGGAAAAGGTGATATCCAAAGTTTCAGTTTTGCCACATCTATCTGAACAATAACATTTCTCCCAATGCTTTGAAATTTTTCTTTACTATAAAGAAAAATCTCATTCTTGACAGTGTCATGACTTTTTCTTAGAAATTAATCTCTAAAATATGACATTTAGAGGCTTGTACATGTAAACATTTGCAGGTTCTGTGGTCCTAAACAGATGTCTCAACATCTACGCAGGGAGCTAATTGCTTTTTTTGCTAAAAGATAAATTTTTCTCAAAAGAACTTGACTATTAAGTCAGCAGTTGGCAGCCAGCATTCATCAAAGATGTTAACATTACACTTTTAAGAAAAATGAAGAAATTGGAATCAAAATGAAACATAACTCATTGGAATGGAGGTTGAAATAAATTATGGTGGAAAGTTTTTAGATTCTTAAAAATATCTTTAAGGCTTTATGAGTATGGAAGACCAAGTTTCCAACTCATAATTTACTCCCAAATTACCTTTGTGGATTGGTTGTGTATTTGTCCATTTTCTGTTGCCAATAATACAGTGACACAGATTGGTAAGCTACAAAGAAAATAGGTTTATTTTGGCTTGTGGTTCTGATCCAAGGCTGAGGGCCACATCTGAATGTGGTCTTCTTGCTGGCAGAGTCTTAAGGTTGTGCAGAGCATCACATGGCACAAGAGTGAAAGGCCATGTGTCTGTTGCTGTTCTGGTCTTCCTCCTCCTCTGCTGTGTTATGGGTTGGCTTTGCTACGATGGCTTGGTTCCCATCTGATGGTGCTCTTGGGAGATGATGGGAACTTTAAGAGGTGGACTGAGCTGGAAGAGGTGAGTCGCTGGGTTTTACTGCTGAAGGGTATATGTTGTCCCTGGGCCTTCTTCTCTTGCTCTCTCCTTCCAGTCTCTATGAGGTAAGCACTTCCGGTCTCTATGACATGAGCAGCTTTGTTCCACCACACCCTTCCAGGCCCAGAAACAATAGAGCCAGTCAACTAAGGGCTGAAATTTTGGAATCCATGAACCAAATACATCTTTCCATCTTTAAATCACTCACCATCTCAGGTATTTTGTCACAGTGTCGGAAACCTAACACAGGAAATTGGTACTGAGAAGTGGGTTATTGCTGCTCTGAATACATCTGATCATGTGGTTCAGAAGTCTTTGGAACTGGTTTGCCAGTGCAGTTTAGAAAGATTTGGAAATGCAGGCTGGAGAAGCCCTAGAATATTGTAGGTGGAGACTGATGGGTGATTCTGGTAGTGACTAGGAAGGCCAGAATGTTGATAGAAACGTGGACTGTCCTGGTGAAGCCTCAGACGGGAAGGAAGACTCTGTTGGCAACTGGACTGGAGCTCATTTGTGTTGCATTTTGCTAGAGAGCTTGTCTACATTTTGCCCATGCCCTGAGATTTTGTAGAGGCTGAGTTTAAAGGTAACAGACTAGTTTATATAGCAGAGGAAATTTCAGGGCAGCACACCATTCAGGCATTGACATGAGTGGTGCTGGTTGCTCTTAGCTAGATATATAATGACAATCAGAAGCAAAATGCATTCCAGAGAGATTTGAAAAACTTACAGTTTGGCCAGAAAAGGAACACATGGAAAGTTGAAGCCAAAGAAGGCACAGTTGCCAAAAAGTTTAGTGCCATTAAAAAGAAGTCTAGTGCTCTGTACCAGACACCTTGTAGGGAAGACGCCTTGAGGAGTCTGGTGGGATCACGGTGGCTTCCACCTAGATTTCAAAAGAAGCCCTGAGAATCCGGGTAACATGTGGCAAGGGGAAGCCCCTGCAGGCAGTCCCCAGAGGGCCATGTGTGAAGCTACGCGTGTGAGGCAGACTGCCATGGAGACCCCCAGGAGTCAGAGGTGTCAGAGATGTGGGATGACTGCTGAGAAAAGCTGCAGGCAGGGAGAAGAGCCAGCCCAAGAGAGGCCACGTGGACTGTAGTGAGGCCATAGGAGTGAGGGCATCAAGACCTTGGCACTCACATTCTATCACCAAGTACTCTGGACACTGGTCACAGGGCCGCAGGATGTAATGTCTGCCCTGTGGATTTCAGTCATGCATTAGTACCATCCTTCCTTTCTATTCCCCTGTTCCTCCCCTTTGGAGCAAGAACACTCACTCTGTGCCATTGTATGTTGGAAATACGTAGCTTGTGCTGTAAAACCTTGGATTGCGAATAACTTGTTATGCAAGACAAATATTTCTAATAAATCTTAACTTGATAAAATTTATTGAGCCACAAGTGATGCCTTGCAATACTAGTATGTGATGTCACATGATCACAACTGAGCCAATGGTTGTCTCTTTCTCTCTCAGTCTCCCTCCCTCCCTCCCCACCCACCCCAGCCCATTGTGGGTGAACATCTCCCAACGGCAAGAGATTATGGAGGAGATTTCATCTGCAGAGGAGGAAGGAAAAAAGGCAGAGGAATCTCTCACTTCAGGGAGATGAGGGACAATGCGTGAAATGTGGAAAACAGTGCAAAATTTTGTAGAAAAGCACCTCCCTAATAACGCTGTAGCAGTGCAAGCAATGAATCTGTTTAACCACAATGCGGTGTTACATTTCTAGGAAACTTCAAAAGCAGGCAAAAGCAAGTGTCATTGGATAGGTTCCTTATTAAAGTCACATGGAAAGGACAAGATTCCACTGAGCCAATAGCTATGATTCTGGTAGTGATAATGAAAGTCATCCTACACAATAACCCTTCTCTGTTTCGCCTTCCTCACATCAGCCAGGAAGGTTTTCAAAGGTGAGTGCAGGTTAATTTGTTTATTTTTCTTTATATTTTGTATTTTTATTACTATTTTGTATTATACTATTATAATTGTTTTTTATGAATATATTTGGGTTGTGGAATGAATCACCCGAGTTTTCATTATTTCTTATTAGGAAATTCACTTTGATGTATGTACAAGTGCTTTGGTTTACAAGCATGCATCCAGAACAAATTATGCTTGCAAACCAAGATTTTACTGCATTTTTATTCTTTTTTTTTTTTTTTTGGAACAGAAGTTAGATGTAATAAAACATTATAAAAAGACCACATGGCCATGTACCATGCTATTAATTTTGGAGAGAGTACTCTGTAAAATATTAGAGATAATTCAGAGAAAATTTAAAAGAGCATTAAAGCAGGTGTGACATTAAGTTTGCAAATATATTCTTATAAGAGTACATAGAAAATGGAATGGAAAAAACTTGATGGCTGTAAGATCATCAGCCCCATAAAGTGTCTAAGGTACAGAAAGCCAGGCGTGGAGGTTGATGCATGCCTGTAATCCTAGCATTTGGGAGGCTGAGGCAGGAGGATTGCTGTGAGCTTGAGGCCAGCCTGGGCTACATAGTGAGTTCAAGGCCAGCTTGAGACCCTGGCTCAAAAACAAAAACAAAAACTTAAGGTACAGAGATTGTCCACACCTGTGTCCTAAGAGGACAAATTCAAAGCCAGCCATACAGGGCTGCAGATGAACAATTGCTCATGAATTATGCATGTGCTGAGTACATGAGACGTTTGGAAAATCCTTCATTCTGCTTTCCTGGTTATGTAATGGTCTCTTATTAAGACTACAGTCATAGCCAGGCATGTGGTACACTAAAATCCCCAGCACTCAAGAGGCTGAGGCAGGAGGATCAGAAGTTCAAGGCCAGCCTGGACTGCAATGCACAGTGAGTTCAAGGCTGGCCTGGACAACATAATGAGGCCCTTACTGGAACCCAATTTCAGGTATGGCTTTCCCTCCACTTCCAGGCCCATCACTCCATCAGAGATAAAATTAAGTTTGCCTGGTATAATTTGCACTTCAAAAAAATCACGTTGATTACTACCCAGTACCTTGTGTTCTTCTAGGTGGTTGCAAATTGATTGTTTGATGATTTGTTCTTCTATCTTCCCAGGTACCCAAGATAAACTGAAGACTCTATAATTACTACAGTTGTCCTTTCCCTGTTATAAAAAACAGGTTCTCCTGCTGCTGACTTTGCATATCAGGACTCTCTTCTGCCCAATCTTTCTGCATTTTGTAAAACAAAGGCTGGTGGTCTTGCAATTACATTTTCCAGGCCCTTGAGTGCTCTGGGATGTGAGTAATCAGGCCCTGCTGATGTAAACGCACCCAGATTTCTGAAGGGCTCTTCAATCACTCCTTCCCTGTTTGCCTTTGCGCCTCCAACAGGATAGCACTTAATCTGTTTTAGTTTCCCTATCACTGGAGTGGTGGCCCGCCTGGAATCTCAGCACTGGGGAGGTGGAGGCAGAAGGATCACCTCCAATTTGAGGCCAGCTTGGGCCTCCATAGTTCAAGGCTAGCCTGACCTACATAGCAAGACCCTTGTTTGTCTAAGCCCAAATGTTCTGTTTTAGTAACACGAAGGTATCTGGAATACCTGTATTTTGATTCTTATAAGGGCTCACAGCTAAGATTGTACCTTAAGTCTCAGAAAACACTTTGGACTTAGACTTTTTTTTGGGGGGTGGGGGGGAAACATTGTAATAATAAAGGATTAGACGATTTCATACTTTTGGACTTAGACTTTTTGTTTGGATTTTTTTTTGGTACCGGGGATTGAACTCAGGATGTTGCACTTGTAAGGCAGGCACGGTGCCACTGAGCTAAACGCCCTGGACTTAGACTTTTGAATACTGGAAATGTCAGAACTGTGAGGACTCCTGGCGATGGACTGAATGCATTTTTCACTGTGAGGTGGGCATGAGCCTTTGGGGGCCATGGGGAAAATATTATAGTTTGGATGTTGAATGTCTCCGACAGCCTGTGTTGAAGGCATGGTCCCCAGCTGGCAGTGCTTTGGGGAGATGGTGGAAGCTCCAAGCAGTGGGGCCTAGCTGGAAGAGGTGGGGCACCCAGGTGTGCTGCGGAAGGGTGCATTCTGTCCCAGTAGGCTTCCTCTCTCCTCTGGCCTCCATGAGGTCAGCAGTTTTGTTTCACCGCACCCTTTTACCATAATGGTCTGCCTCCCCGCAGTCCCAGAAACAACAGAGCCAGTTGACCCAAAACTGAATCCTCTGAAGCCATGAACCAAATATACCTTTCCTCCTTTAAACAGTTTTCAGCTATTTTGTCATAGTAACAAAAAAGTGACTATTTAATCACGGAAACACCACCCTGATGACCCTGTCGAATCTTAATCAATTTCCAGAGGTGATTTTACCTTTATAGTCACACTCAGATGAAGATTCTACCCTCTTAATAAAACTCCCAAACTGAGTTTTGGTTGGGTAGGGATAACCACAATCAAATCGTAGCAGGTTATTATGCAAACACCCACTTTACAGGATAGAAGAGGGAATCAGCACATATATAAACAAAGACGCTTTAACAATTCAAATCAATCTTCAATTTTTTAAACCTGTGTCATTGGCAGAGACTGAAAAATATCAGTTGTCAGTGTTGTCAAGGGAAGGTTAAAATGGGCCTAGCCACACACAGTGGTAGTGGATGCCACCGAGATTCCACTGAAGAATGGAGCCACCAACCTCCTCAGTCTCCAGGAGTGCTGGCTGCTGGTGGCATTAGTGGAGTCCCTTCCTGGGAACCATCACTAACTAAAGAAAGTTACACTCACTTCCAACGGGCCATGTGGCCTAAGCCTTTGGCCTTGATTCTGGGGAGTAGAAGGTGCCTTCCTCAGCCCTGTTGGAATTGCATTGCATTTCAGCTTCTCCTCTTCCCATCCTGCACTTGGCTCCTTCTCTGTGTCGTGCTGAGAGTCCATCCCAATAAACCCTGCACACAAACCACCCTGTGCCTTTTCCTGCCGAGGTGACTGCCACAAAGAAATGAACATCTTTCCCCTTCTCAAGTCTACTCATATTTTCCTTTGTGAAACCTTATTTTGGTTCCATGTTTATAAGCCATTTTCCACAGCAAATCAAATTACAATGCACTTGTGTTTATTTTTCTCTTAGTTCTTTTATATTCCATATTTTGCATGTAACTTTTCAGTCCATCTGGATTTTTCATCTGTATGCTGTGTGAAGCAGGATTCGAATTAACTCGCCTCTGTGTAGTGGGCCCAACACTCATTATCAAATAAAATATTCTCTGCATGGATTTTAAAGGTGTGTGCTTTGATTTCACAAGTAGAAGTCGCTTAAATTGAGAAAGTTCCAATTTGGAGAGTCCTTCGGCAGGATTGGCAAGATTTACATGTAGCCAGCAGGGGGCTCTCTCGCATAATGAATGGACCTCTGCCTATGGGCTAAGGTCCCCCAGTAAATGGTTTGCTTTTCCTGAACAAGGTGAACTCTGCTGCTCATATTAGCACTCTGAGAGGCTGAGGCAGGAGGGCCTCAAGTTCAAGCCCAACATGGGCAACTTAGCAAATTAGTGAGACCCTATCTCAAAAAAAAAAGAAAGGAAGAAAGAAAGAAAGAAAGCCAGGACCCACGGGGAGTCCTTTTTGTGCAGTGGACAGAAGCAAGACTTGTGTCACTAGAGCTTGGCCAAGACATTTGAACTCCACCCCCAAGCATTCCCAGTTGGAATAAGTAATCTTAAGAAAAGAGGACGTTCCTGGTGCTGCATGGGCTCCAACAGAAGCTCCAGAATATTTTCATTAGCTCTTCATAGGCCCAGTCTGATGACTCCTGCTGCTCAGGGTGGCTTCATACAGTACAAACTATTGCACCAAGAGACCTTTATGGAATGTACAGCTCTTCCTGATATCTCTAGTTTCAATGTTCTCAGCAACGACTGAGTGACCCTGCTCTAGGATTTAAGGCGCAGGGGGAGGACCTCACCTGCCCAAACTCCTAGGTCCCAGCACCTGGGTTGTCATCACTGCAGATATATCCCACTGGTTCCTACGACCACTGTGTTCAATTAAATGGCCCCAGGGAAGGACAGGGAATCTCCATTCACTGGCTGGCCCTGACCTTGACAACCAGCTGAGAACCTCTGGCCAGGGCTGTGGCAATGTGGAGCAGGGGAAGAGCACATCCCAGCTCTGTCACTGGCAGATGGCTGCAGCTGCAGGCAGAGCCTCCCCTGGGAGTGACGCACAGCGCAGGCTGAGCTTTATGTCCACCAGGGCCCTGCATCATGGCTTTAGAAGATCACCATGAGCAGTTAGCTTTAGTCTGTTAGCCAGGGTGGGGTTGAGCCAAGGGGTTGTCCACAGGCTCTGCCTCTCCCCCCAGCAGGATGGCTCCCAGGGCCACCTGCACAGGGATCATCCAGGTGCTTGCCGAGCAGACTCCTGTCCCCTGCCCAACCTCACTGGAGCAGCACTGCAGGAAGGGCGTGGCGACCTGCAGGCATCAGCCCCTGGGGACTCTGGGGCTCTCTGTAGCCAAGTGTGCCTTCCAGGGCCTGGAGGTCTGGACCCTGGCTGCAGCATTGCCTGTTCGCCTTTCCCCCATCACTGCACTCACACACACACACACACACACACACACACCTACAGGCTTATGCGCACATGGCCAGGCACAAGCGAGGCACATTACAACCAACAAAAACATTTATTTGAGCATCAGTGATTCATGAGTGGGTCAGGTCTGGAATCCAGTGGTTCAAGATTCCACTGAAGGGACTTTTATAGTTCAAATGGGGAAGCAGAGCAAAGGGATTGTTTGATTGGTTGAAGTTTGAATGGTTGCCTTTTCTGGACTCTTCCAGTAGGAAGGTCAAGACAATACGTAACCTATACCCTGTTGGCTGCCTAGGATGGGCTAGGTTTGCCATTCAGTTTCCTTTAAAAGTCTGAGTTAGGTTTCAGTTTGACTACATGAGAAGCCAGAATGTTAGAACCACCTAAGTCGAAAGTCTTCCATCCGGTTATTCTAACAACTAAGACTGGGCCATCCCCTACTGCCTCGAGCCTGGAGAGGGCAGATGGATGAGCCTTTCTGTTGCTCATGCTGTCTCCTTCTCCTGAATGCTATTCCCTACACCAACACTAATCTATCCCTTCTGGAAACCCAGGTCAGCTGCTCATGCTCCCTGTGCAACTTGAGACATCACCTCTTTCCTGGAGCCTGGAATCCTCTGTCCTCAGAACATATTGCCTCTACCTTCCTTTATGTCCTGCTGTTCCATCCCCAGCCTCCTGCCATGTCTCCCACCATGATTCAGGGCCCTTGTATGTCCATCCTGTTGTGCCTGTGGCTCTGGAAGACCTCACCACTCTCTTCTTTGTAGTTGTGTCCCAGGGTCTACCCCAGGGGGACCACCACCAAGAAGGAACCCCTGAAGTGTTCGGTGGGCAAATGGGCAAATGTGTTGTCTACAGAGCTCATGAGAAGAAAGAACACAGTGTGTGGTCAGCTGCAGTTGGGAGAACAGGCAGTGGGTTGGCCAGCTTTGGTGAGGATGGGGAGGTCCTTTCTGGAGGGTGGTGGAGAATCCTCAGGGTATCTTGAGGATGCTGGTGTCAGAGAATAGGTCAGGGAAGGTTCCAGAACAGGGAAAGCAGGAAGCTAAAATGACAAGGGACCCCTGGCCATCTGGGCCTCTGTCCTATGGTTAGCTGAGATCAATCTCGGCCATTCGGTGAAGCTGCCCTTCCTGCCACTTGCCATATACACCCCGATCATCCCAGACTCTCACTGGCTGGCACAGTGCCTAATTATGTAGACAGTGGGTCAGTGTTGGCCGAGTGGGTAGGAAACTTGGAATAATGCAGACTTGACTCCTGTCAGACAAAAGTACAAAGCAGCAGGTACTGGATGCAGACAGTAGTAGCTTTGGAATCTGACAAACCCGTGTATTTTGAATCCTAACTCTGCTATTTGCTGTGTGTCTTGGCTTAGTCAGTTAACCTCTCTGAACTTTAGACTCCTTCCCTGTAAACAGAGATGGAGAACTTGACCATGAAGAGCTGTGCGATGATTTGAGATATGGTTTATGAAGTACCTAACACATTATACGTGCTCAATAAACAGCAGCTATGGTATGTGATGTTCCTGTGCAGATGCCTCCTCCGTCTGTGGGGTGTGAGGGAGAAGTACAGGAGTCTCCACACTTGAGGGAGCCATTGCTTGGCATGCATCCAGGTCCCTTCTCATAACTAACTTGGAAAGAGCCTTTGGGGACTCGTTTCCCTACTGGAATATACCACTGTTAGTTGACTTTCTGTCTCTGTGACAAAATACCTGAGAAAATCATCTCAGAGGAGGAAAGATTTATTTCGGCTTACGGCTTCAGTGGTTTCAGTCCATGGTTGGCTGGCTCCATTGTTATGGGCTTGTGGCCAGGCAGAAACATCACGGCAAAAGGGCATGGGGGAAGAAAACAGGACATGTTCCCAGTGACCTGCTTCCTTCAAGTAGGCCCCTACAGTTTTCACCACCTCCCAATAGTCCATTCAATTATGAGCCCATCAGTGGATGAATGCACTGATGAGATCAGAGCCTTAATGACCCAGGCATTTCTCAAAA